TTTAGGTGGAGACTTAGATTAGAGGAATACAAATACGAAATAATATATCATAAAGGGGAAAATAATTTGGCTCCTGACGCGTTATCACGAATAAACATTACACAAGATAAAACGACACTGAAAGACAAGACCACGAGTTCCTCGAATTGACAAATCAGACGATAGAATCTAATGACAATGACGAAGCTACAGAACCGAGTAATAGTATAATCGACTTTGAAGATTATATAGAATTTTTAGTCGGGCAAGAGACCCTTCCTAACTTTAAGGAAATAGTGAATCTAGACGGAATAAAACAAATTGATAGATTAGAAGTAGACTGCCTTAGAGAAATAGAGTTATTGGCAAAATTAAATGATATAACCAAAATTTACACACAAATAGGAATATCAGATCATATGTTTTCAGAGAATCTGGTAGAACAAATCAGTAAAATATTACAGTACTTAGCATTTAAACACTTCAATAGAAATTACACATTCTCATGCGAACCAATAATACCCATTGACGAACAAAAAAAAGAAAACATTCAAGGAAAGCCACAATTCAGAATTACAACAGAATTACACTTTGGAGAAAATAAAACCTTTGCAAGGATCAAAGGAAAATACTACTGGCCCAGCCAGTAAAGAGATAAAAGATGTGATAAGTAAATGCGAGACTTGCCAATGTGAAAAATTGACGAGAATTAGACCCAGAGAACCAGTTTTATCCCTGACACACTTAAAGACCCAAATGATAAAATAGCTATGGACATATATGTAGTGATATAATTTAATGATGTTTATTATATTAATTATGAAGTTATTATATATTAATTATATTAAGTTATTGTAGTTTGTTATATATTATTATATTAATAAAGAAAACGAAAACAAAATAACAAATAATAAACGCAAGACAACACAGACAACAATAATTCGAATAAACGCAATCGCCACAATTAATTCTTTTAAGCAACACAAAATGATCACTCTTTTGACCACACTCATTCAACGCTCTTTTACAATTTGCACGACTCTCTTCTTTTTAAAAAGAAAAGCACTCAATGGCAACGCTGTGACCTCTTTTCACATCATATTCATACTTTTTCGTTCACACATCTCCAGCAAACAGGCCATCTATTAAAAGTAAAGTAACTAAAAATATAACTATACATTGTAATAATTTCGATACTACATATACGGACCATTACAAATGCAAAGGTAATCAATATTATTATCATATTAAGACATGTATTATTAATACATGTCTTAAACAAATATCTTATCCTTGTACCTCTTCCCAATCAACAAGTGCAAACTATAATAGAGAAATTAATGGATCATTATATTTACGTATTTTCCATACCCAAGACGATACTAACTGGTCAGGGCGCGAATTTTGTGTTCAAAATTGATGATGGAATTTGAAGAAGCTTTTAAGATTAAGCATATTAAAACCATTTCCACCCACAGAGCAATGGTTCCTTGAAACGTACACACGCCTTAATACGAGATTTAACAAGGATTTGTACTACGGACAAAGTAGAGACTGGGACGAGATATTGAACCTAGTTTGCTTTGGATATAACACTGCAATGCATGAGGGTATATGATATACACCTTTTGAGTTGACTTTTGGTAGAAAGGCCCACTTGCCCAGTGCAATAGCTGCTACTACTGCAATAAGCAAGGAAGAAGTATATTTCGTTTATAGAAACGTAGACACAAGTTGTATTTAGCTAGAGCCAAAGTGATAATACAGAAGAATAAAGCTACAAATAAAAGAAAGCAGGAAACGTAAATAAAATTACAAAATGTGTTTAAAGTTAATGATAGAGTTCTAATGCATAACGATCATAAAGGAAATAAGTTGGATTCTGAATGGTTGGGCCCTTATACTATCGACGAATTAAAAAGTCCTTATTATATCTGTAAAGAAGATTTATTAAAATGCATGGTAATAGGTTAAAAATATTTAAAACTTGATTTCAGATGAATAAGCTCATATTATTGGTAACACTAACACTAGTGATAGGCGAAGAAATTGAACTTACATACCTAGAACATAAGAATTTATTTAGAGAAGATATACAGAAAGTTTTCCTCTATCATAACCAAGTAAAGTTAATAGTGGCAGTAGACACGTGCGTTATTCAACAAGCAAAAAAAAAGTAATTGACCAATTATATGAACTAAATCGACTATGTGAAAAAAGCAATTGTGGAGAATTTCCGGAAATTAACGTGCTGAAAGTTAAAATTTATACATTGGAGAATAAATGTATACATTATAAGAACTTGATGCATCTAAGAGTAAAGAGAGGACTATTTAATTTAGGAAGCATCTCTAAAACCTTATTTAGCACATTAGACGATAGCGACTTAGAATTAATCAATCAAAACATAGACAAACTTTTCGACGCAAACGACAAAATTATACAGGTAGTAAGGAATCAAATGATCAAAAACTAATGATCAAAAACCTCTTGAAACTTTGGAGTGTAGAAGAACGAGTATCTGGAAAAATTGTAGAAGCAGAAGATTTTGCACTCAATATAATTAGTTTAGAATCATTTATATACGAAATTATTGAACAAGTAGATACCACAATAACTGCGATACTTATAGGAAAACAAGGAATAATTCACTCGGATATCCTAACTAATGAGCAGTTTTTATTGGTCTATACAAAATTAATAAAGGAAAATAACACGTACAACACCATAGAACCAATAGAGGAAAACGTTCAACTAATTTACGACATTAGTGATATAAAAATTAAGAGGAACTAAATAGTTTATGTAATAGATATACCGATTCTAGAAACTACAGAGTGGAAATTATGAAAATACTATCCGATACCTAAAAAAACCGACGATATTCAGCGCAACATACTAGAAACACTAACGCTTCAAACAATATACGAATACATTGGAATATTTAGACAAACATTGTAAATTAGGCAAGCAAATCCCTTTATGTAAACGAACCAGACCAGACACACCAATTCTCATCGCGAACACTTGTGAAGCCGAAATAATTGCAATGAACCTGCATAACCATTGTGAACGAGTACTTTTCAAAATTGAATCAATTACTTATATTTCGCTTATTACATCCGAAAATTATATTGTAATACCGCGACAAGAAACCACACTTGACGTAAATTGTAAAACACATCTTATAAAAATACAATTAGTTCAGCACATTTGATAGAAGTCAACACCGACTGCATAATACAGACACCAAATTCAATAATGAGAATTAGTCCAGGAAAATCAAATTTAACATGGGAAACGAAATTGATCAATATGAATGTAAACATGTCGGAAAAATAAATAACATTGTTACAAGAACATTTGAAAGAAACGCCAATTGAAAAACTTAAAAGAATACTCAAAAACGTTAGAAGAAAGTTCCGAAGAAAGTTCCAAAAATACGAATATATCACAAAACGTAGTCGAGACAGTGAAATTTCACGTATTATCATTGTTTCATAGTTATATATGCTAGAATCTAGCAAGATCCGTCAAAATCTCTGCGAAAAATACGAATATTTAACGAAAACGTCGACGAAACAGTTAAATTCAACGTGTTATATCTGTTTTGTCGTAAAATATGCTATATGTGTGTGAAATTATTCAAAGTATTCTACATTTATTTTATCAATATATTATCTCGGTCTGACGGCCTTACACCATTCTACGCATGGCGGAGTTTACAATGAAATGAACTTTCTTTATATATAACGACGATCCAATATTTTTTATTGTCCCCGCAACAATACGCTTCTCCGGTACGTGTCTTACATATGTACAGTCAAAGTATTCTACATACATTCTACCGATTATTATCGCGATCGGATGGTCCTACATTTTTCTATGTTTCGCGGGTATTAGAATTAGCAAATTCATTAAAATTAGAAACGATTTAGTATTATATATCGTCCCCGAAATTATACGCTTCTTCGGTACGTGCCGGGGCTTGCTTATGATTATTCAAAATATTCTACATTCACTCTATCAGTAGATTATCTCCCTCTGATAGTATTATGTTATTCTACGCATTACGGGTATTACAATGGACACAACTTTTCAATATATAACAACGCAATATTATTTATTGTCTCCGAAATAATATGCTCCGCTGGGAGATATCGGGGCATACATATGACATTTCAAAATTTCTCTATTAATAGATTATCTCCCGCTGATAGTCTTATATTATCCTACGTATCGCGGAGATCACAATGGACACAATTTTTTGATACATAAAGACGATCCCGAATATTATTTATCGTCTCCGAATTGATATGCTCCTCCAGTTCGGATCGGGGCTTACATATGATAATTAAAAATATTTTAAATTAACTATATCAATTGATTATCTGCCTCTTATGTTGGTACATTATTCTACTCATCGCCAGGATCACAATGATCCCAATTTTTTAATATATAGCGGCGATCCAATATTATTTATCGTTCCCGAAGTAATATGATTTCCGGTTCGTTTCGTGGTTTACATAAGGTCATTCAAAATATTCTACATTCGTTCTATCAATATTTTTTCGTGATTGTCTTATATCAATCTACGTATTGCAAGTGTTAAAATGAATAAATTTTATAATAACAAAGATTTAGTACTACTTATCGTCCCTGAAATAATACGATCCTCAGGCACGAATCGGTGATTACATTTATCTCGATTTCAATGTTTCATGTTATCTAACGCATCTTGGTACTCAAGTCGACAAATGTTTGAAAATCAAACAACGATTTAATATTATTTATCGTTCCCAAAATTACACGCTCCTCCAGTACGGGTCTTACATATGTTCATTCAAAATATTTTACATTCACACTATCAATAGATTATCTCTATCTGACAGTCGTATAATATTCTACGCAACGCTGGGATCACAGTGAACAGAATTATTTAATATAAAACAACAATTTATTATTATTTATAGTCTTCGACGTTGTACGTCCCTCCGGTACGGATCCTGGGCTTACAAATAATCATTCAAAGTACATTCATTCTATCAATATAGTGTTGAGATCTGACAGTCTTATACTAGCCTGCGCATCAAGAGGATAACAGTGAACACAATTTTTTAATATATAGTGACGATCCAGCATTATTCATCTTCCTCGAAATAATACGCTCCTCCTGTACCGATCGGAGACAACATATGATCATTCAAAATATTCTACATTCATACTAAAGACGTATCTTGATCTAATAGTCTTATATTATTCTACGCATCGCGGGTGTCAATATGAAAAATTTTTTAATAACAAACTACGATACAGTATTATTTATCGTACCCGAAATTATACGGTCCTCCTGCGCGGACCGGGGCTTAAATAATGTCACTCAAAGTATTCTATATTCAATCTCAATATTAGATGTATTATCAAGATTAGATCTTCTTATATTGAATATATATATATATAGAGTTATATTGAGTTTTTATATTGAGTGAAGTAACTATTTAGTATTATTTATCACCCACGAAATAATACACACATCCGGTTAGATTCAGCGCATACGTATGATCATTCGAAATATTTTATATTAACTAATATCAGTAGAGTACCACCCTCTGATTGTTTTATACTATCCTATACATAACGTGTGACAAAATGTACAAATTTTTTATATAAAGCAGCGATTCATTATTAACTGTCGTCCACGAAATAATACGGTCCTCCGGTAGGGGCTTACACAGGACCATTCAAAATATTCTACATTCAGTCTATCAATATATTATCGCGATCTGACGTTCTTATATTATTCACGCATCGCTGGATTCACAATGAACATATTAGTGTAAAACTAAGATTTAGTATTTTTTATAATCTCCGAAATAATACTCACATTCGTTACGTATCGGGGCTTACATATGATCATTCAAATATTCTGCATTCCCCTTATCAATGGTATACCTAACTCTGATAGTCTATTATTCTACGCATCGTCGGGAATACAAGGAACTACATTTTTAATATATAATGTCTACTTACCATTATTTATCGTCCTGATGTTATACGATATCCCAGTACGGATTGGGGCATACACATTGCAATTTAAAACGTTCTACATTTATTCTATCAACGTATTACTTCCTTTTGATTGTCTTATATTATTCTACGCATTGCAGTTATTAAAATGAACCTAATTTTTAGTGTAAAACCGTTTTTTATTATTATTTATCGCCCCCTAAATAATACGCTCCTCCAGTATATATCGGGGCTTTCATACAATCATTGAAAATATTCTACATTCATACTATCAAAATATTAACACAATCTGATTATTTTACATTATTCTATACATCGCGGGGATCATAATGAATTCAATTTTTTAGTATATAAAGACGATCCAAATTATTTATCAACCCCAAATTGATATGCTACTTCTGTACGCATTGTGGGCTTACATATGATCATTCAAAATATCTTGAATTCATTCTATCAATATATTATCTCGTTCTAATTGTCTTATATTTTTGTACACATCATGGGGATCACAATGAGCACAATTTCTGAATATATATTTAGACGATCCAATATTATTTATCGTTCCCGAGAAAATGCGCTCACGCGTTACATATCGGGGATTATATATGATCATTCAAAATATTCAACATTCATTCTATCAATATATTATTTCACTCTGATATTCTTACATTATTCTACGTATCACAGAATCACAGTGCACATATTTTTTAATATAATACAACGATTTAATGACATTTATCATACCTGAAAATATACGAACGTCCGGTACATATCGGATATTGCCGGTAGTCATTCAAAATTGTATACATTTATCCTATCAATGAATTAACTCCCTCTGATAATCTTTTATTCTACGCATCGCCAATGAACACAATTATTTAATATATATCGACGATACGATATTCTTTATCGTCCCCAAAATAATACGTTCTTACGGTACGTATCAGTGCTTACATAAGATAACTCAAAGCCTTCTACATTCACTCTATCAATAGGTTCCTACACTTTGACTGTCTCATATAATTCTTCACATCCCGAAGATCCCAATGAATAAAATTTTTTTACATATAACGATGAACTTATTATATTTATCATTCCAGAATTAACACGATCCTCCGGTACGGCTCGGGAATTGCATATGTTCATTCAAAATATTATATATTCATTGTGTCTGTATATTATCAATCTAAATGTTTTATATTACTATACCTTGTGTCTGTATATTATATCAATCTAAATGTTTTATATTACTATACCTTTCACGGGGATTACAGTATACGCAATTAGTTAATATATAACGATCCAATATTATTTATCGTCCAATAAGTATTATGTACCTCCTTACATATGGCCATTCAAAGTAATGAACATTGATTCTCCCAGTACATCATCTCGATCTGATTCTCTTATACTACTCTACACATCGCGGGTACTAAAACGAACAAACTTTTTGTTATAAAACAACTATATAGTATTATTTATCGTCTCCAAAATCATATGCTCCATTGGCAAGTATAGGTGGTTCCATACAGTCGTTCAAAATATACTACATTCATTTTGTCAGTCTATTATCTCGATCTTATAATGGCTCATCTTATAATGTTATAAGCATCAAAATGAACAACTTAACAATTTTTTTAATGTAAAACAACGATTTTGAATAAAGTATTGGTACCGAAGACCTTACTGTACAGATCGGGACCTGCATATGAAAATTCGAAATATTCTACATTCGTTCTTTAAATTATCCGAATCTGTGGTTCTATCATTATTCTACGATTTGAGGTTGTCAAAAGGAACAAATTATTTAATATGAAACAACAATAAAGTGTTATTTATTGTCTTCGAAGTTATACGAACCATCGGGAATTTCATAAAATCATTTAAAGTATTCCAAATTCATTGTATCAATATTATTTTGATCTGATTTTCTTATATTGTTCTACGTATCATAGAATCACAATGAATAAAATTTCTTAATATATAACGACTATCCAAAATCATTTAACTTTCCCCAATTAATACGCTACCAGGTACGGATCGGGCTTACATATGATCGTTCAAAGTATTCTACATTCACTCTATCTCCCGCTGATGGTCTTACATTATTGTACATTATTCATCGCTGGGATCAGAATGAACAAAATTCTTCATTTAAATAATCATTTATTTATTTAAATATCAAAATTCTTTATTTATATAAATATAAATATAAATTATTTTCTAAATAATTTATAACAGCGATCATATACATTTTTTATCCTACCCCGAAAATTATACGATACTCCGGTACGGTTCTGTGCTTACATGTGATC